CAAGGAATGTGTGAGGCCAGATCATCGTTATAGAACAAACACCAAGCAAAAATGATAATTTACTCTCATATTGTACACACTACGCATGATCTTGAACTTAATATCCAAGTATAGTACAGAGCGACCAATCTACAAGAACCCAACTCAACATTCTTCCCCACCCTGTTTATCTAGACAGTATCATCATCCTCAACGGTATGATCTGACATCCTCAAATTAGCATACATCTCTTGCAATCAAATGACGTCCACCAGCAACCAGTTGTCCCCATTGCATAGCCTGATGCAAAGTTGAAAATTCCTGGAATGAATGAGATATACTCTGGAATCATCATCATCAGGCGATAACTAGGCGTTCATCTCGCCATACTCCACCCCATGTAGGGACGGAATTGTTGAGAATCTTGAGGATCCAAAATCTAAGACAAGAATATCATTCCTGATGCTCGGTATGTATATATTAGTGCCGACAAGCCGAGGTCCAAGAAAACATGGCTGACAGCAATAAGGGAAAGTGTGTCGTAGCCGAAGTATGCAAACACCACACACCGTCTTTAAACATATAAAAGTATGCCACACTTTTTCCTCTTCCTGGTCCTGAAAGAACCAGAAGTAGGCCACTTTGTTTGAAGAAGATGCATCTGGTACTGCCCTCGGGTAGGTCATGAGGGGGTTGTTGGATGATGGGCACTGCTCCCTCGAGGCACAGCGGGGATGGTCCAGCCCGAAACGTGGATTCAGAATTGCCCTTGATGAGGATGCAGCCGTTGTGGCAGCCCCCGGTCCATACATTATGATAGCCATCAAAGTTGTAGCTTGCCGCACGGCGGGCGATGACGGCGAGCTTGGGGGGCTAAGGCTGCATCAAGGTGAAGAGTTAGGGTGCAGTGAGGTAGAAGCCGAGGGGGTGAGGAGGGTGCAGTTTACGGAATCGGCGGAGGAAGGCGAGGTTGGAAGCATGGAGGAACCAACGCTTGCAGGCAAGGGCGATGGCGCCAACGGGTGTGGTGGGGAAGCCAAGGCGGACGATGATCTCGATGAGGAGGTTGTCGTCGAGCACCTTGGACACGGGGACGGCACATGGCAGTTTCTTCGCATTCATACATGCCTTGGACGAAATGGGATCGGCCCTAATACAACAATACTGTTTAAAACTCGGTCGATTCAACGATTTATCGCTACTGGGGGGGGGGGTTGGTCGATAAGATTATGCCATATTATTCTCGTTTTGTCTGATTTGTCACTCTGGCAAGTGATTTATCAGGAGTCTATCGATAAACCAGGCTTATTCCTAGAACTATGATTATTTGTGTTTTGTGGACCTTGCTATGTAATATGTACCTCTATTCTACTTTGTTTTTAATTGTACAAGGATTCAGAGGCAACGAATCCGACATAACACTTGTGTCCAATATTATTTTTGTGTTGAGTATAGCATATTGAAGCGATGTAAACTTGAGATTTGAACAAAAATGGCCGATTAATAGCCGACTGATAAAATCGATTAATCGGCCGATTTTTAATTAATCTCTAATCCCCAGCCAACTGAGACGCTAACGATAAATGATATCATTAACATTCAACATTCAACAGCTGCTGCAACTAACAAATGCAACAATCCAGCTCAACATTGAGAAACTGCGTAAAACAATAAGATACTAGATGTCACCGTGAGAAACTGTGCAAAACATAAGAAATTAGATGTCACCGTAGGCATCGTCCCTCTCTCAGTATGTACATACCGTGGTATGTCTGCCTTCCTGTCATGGTATGCCTACCTCCCTGTCTCAGCAAGTAGTATTTTTTGCAAGAGAAGGAAATAAACTACCTTTGGAGAGATACGACGACTTTAATAGTTCAGGCTTTGCTAAAACCCAGTCAATTAAGATTTAGTAAGTCTTAATCGACCTTGCAGCATTTTATCCATGGTTTGCAACATTTCTTTCAACCGATTACAACAACCGTCTTGTTGGTTATAGCACGTCATTCGTTGTATCACTCATCTCATCATTTATTGATTGTATCACGTCATCTCATCGGTCGACACCCTCCATTACATTTCTTCCTACTGGTTACAACAACCGTCTTGTTGGTTGTAGCATTGACGTTCATTGATTGCACCACTCATCTCAACGATTGTTGATTGTATCACGTCATCTCACCGGTTGACACATCCCCATTAACATTGTACCACTCATCTCACCAGTTGTTGATTGTATCACGTCATCTCACAGGTTGACACAGTTGAAATATGGGGTGGGCTTTAGGCCCATCCAACAATTTCAGAAAAATCTCTAAGGGCCCATGTGGGTTTATTGGCACTAGGTGGAGGTGGGAAGTTTAGTCCCATCCCGGAAGTGGAAGAGGAGTTGGACCTCCTTATAAGGGTTCCTCTTCTACATGCTATTGGAGCTTGAGAAAAGAAAAGGCCCTCGCACGCTCCTCCGCTGCCGCTCGCCACACCTCGTCGCGCCGCGTCGCGGGTTGCGGGAATGAGCGGAGCCGAGCTCAGTATAGATTTGTCTACTGTTTGTGTAGTACATGCTTGTGCTTGTTTACATCAGTATCAGTATGTCAGTGCTTGTTTAGATGGTCGTTAATTCTGTCAATGCCATCTTAGTCATCTACTTATGAATTAAATTAGTTGAAAAATTGCCTATTTAATAACATTTTTGTTCGAATGGTTGTAGCAACGACGTCAATCGAGCTCCCTCTCTGCAGGTAAATATTTGGGGCTCCACTATCTGCACGTAAATATTTGATTTTTTTGGAACTATGATGATTTTTATAGCAAATTCGGAAACTATACACCCTAATGGAGAAAAATCAAAAGTACCACCCCCTCGGCCTCCTGTTAGCCGAAAAGAGACTTTTCGGCCTCCCGTTGACCGAAGAGGGACTTTTGCCAACCGTTGGCCAAAGAGGGACTTTTCGGGCAACCGTTGGCCAAAAAGTACTTTTCGGCCAACAGTTGGCCAAAGAATCCCTCTTCAGCCAACAATTGCTCTATTTTTTTAAAAAATCATATCAAATAGTTAATTTAATTCTTTTTGCATTAGATTAGAAATTTTATGAAGTTTCTGTAGATATCAAGTTTGACTATATTTGAAAGTTTGAATTTGAATTTTCATGAATTTTCTCAAATCACTAAATTGCCTATAATTTGAGCTATGAGTATTCTTTTTAGATGATTTTTTTTGCTACTGGTTCTTTGTGACTTTGTTTATCAGTTGTAATTAATTGGTGAATTTTAGGATTATTTAAAATTAGGTTTTTATGCCATTCTTTTCCTTCATTTGCTCCCGCCATTTTATTTTCTGCCATTCTCTTCCTCCATTTTCTTTCTGGCCATTCTCTCCCGCGATCTTCTTTCCCGCCATCTTCTTTTTTGCCATCTTCACTTCTCAACTTATAAAACGAGCCTCATAGTGTCCACGATCATAGATAACATCGTCTGACACGGTCTGTGTTTCCTGCGTCGGTGCTGATGGTGGAGTGTGAAACACTGTCTGGGAGAAATCATAAGTGTTTGCAGCTTCGTCATCATCATCGGAGAGTGTTTCACACTAATGACTTCTCTCACACAGTGTTTCACACTCCACATGAAGGCATCATCGTCATCCTTCGTCGATGCATCACTCCTTAGTGTGGCGGGAGAGAATGGCGGGAAAGAAAATAGCGGCAAAGAAAATGTCGGGAAAGAAAATGACGGCAAAAAAATGGAGGGAAAAAGATTGCGGGAAAGTACTTTTTTATCATGTATAAAACGGCAATGGTTATACAGGATTTACAAGGCACTTCTAAATATAAACTCCTATGAAGCTCAAAACAAGTTTTCTAGTAGGATAAAAGAAATAAAATACAAAAAATACTATAAATAAAATAGCTACTGATAACTAAACAGAAACAAAATGAATATGTCAAAAAGACTAAAGAAAAAAATCTAAAGCAATTAAAATGAAAGAAATAGCATAAAACCTATAAAATACTAAAACACTAAAACAGAACTGTTTTCATAAAAACCTATTTTTTAATAATTATAAAATTCGCCAATTAATTACTACTGATAAACAAATTCACAAATAACCAGTGGCAAAAAGAATCATCTAAAAAGAATACACCTAGCTCAAATTATAGGCAATCTAGTGATTTAAGAAAATTCATGAAAATTTAAATTCAAACTTTTAAATCTAGTCAAACTTGATATCTACAGAAACTTCATAAAATTTCTAATCTAATGCAAAAAGAATCAAATTAAAATACTAAAAATCCTATTTGATATGAATTTTTTAGAAAGTAGAGCAACTGTTGGCCGAAAACGAAAAGTCCTTTTTGGACTAGGGTCGGCCGAAAAGTCCCTCTTCGACCATCGGGAGGCCGACGGGTGACACTTTTGATTTTTCTTCATTAGGATGTATAGTTTCCGAATTTGTTATAAAAATCATCATAGTTTCAAGAAAAAATCTAAATATTTGGGGGAAATCAAACTAGGGTTTCCCAAACTAGATTCGAATTTTCCAAAGAGAAGAGGTAAATTAGTAGGGGGTCGAGAAGAAGAGGAAGGAGATAGGGTCGCCTGACCTCGAACCGCCGGTGAGTGGTGGGTTCAGATCGCCCCATTTTCACTCGGCTCCGGTGGCCGTTGTGCTGGCTAGAGGAGCGCCGGCATTCATACGCACCACTGCTTTGCTATCCAGCTCCACATCAAGTTTGTTCACGTCCATTTCTGAGCATCTGATTCGCACGCACGCCAAGCGAATAAACAAGTACTCAAGTTACAAATTACGAATCAAACTTTTGTGATGAAACCAGGCAAGAGCACTCGAGTCACAAATTACTACTAGTACATCAAAGGTGCATTTTACAACTGACCGATACATTTTATTCGGGCACACGCATGTGCGCGCAGCATACACGCGCGAGCCAACTAGGACAGACGGGCAAGATCACTAGCCACACAAAGAAAACAGGTGCCAGCTCCTGATCCCGGTCATCACACACCTAGACGTACTTGTCCGTGGTCGGGTACGCGCCGGTGCCCGGGTACGCAGGGTCGGCGGCGGCAGGCGCTGCACCTGCACCTGCACCCACGGGGCGGTGGTGGCCGTGCGGCCCGGTGAGGGGCACGTGCGTGGCGCCGTGGCGCCCGGCCGCGGCCTCGGCGCGGTGCTCCGCCTTCTCCTGGTGCATCTCGGCCTTGGCCTGGGACTTGTTGGCGCGCGTCTCCTCCTTGGCCATCTCCTTCTCGCCGTGCGTGGTCGCCGTGGCCTTGCCGGTCTTGCCCTGCGCCTTGGCCGTGCCCTCCTTCGCCTTCTCCTTGGCCGAGCTCACCGCGTCCTTCATCTTCACCTTTGCCGTCTGCATCGTCGCCGCTCCTCGGAAAAAGGCTTCTTCTGCTTGCTGTGTGTATGCGTTCTTTGTGTGGGTGCTTGGGGTGTCTGGGAATGTTAGATGCCGTGGTGGTCGTGTGGCGTATTTGTAGGCGAGGATGGGTTGGGTTGGAATGGCGTGGGTTCTGTCGGGAGCGAGACGTGGGGTGGTAGGTGGCGCGAATGCGGTGGTTCCAGAGCCAGCCGGAGTTACACGTAGCGCCGTGAGGTGGCGCCCAAGGTTCTGGCAGGCGGCGCGTAGGCTGTGTGACGCTCTGCTCAGGTGCCGCGTGCCCCTACGTTGGATGACGGCGGTGTTCTAATGCTGCTGATCAGTGCACGTGAACGGCATCTGGATCAACATCAAGTAACTGTAGCTGTGCCATTAATCGCATCGGCCTGCGAAGTATGGCTTTTGGGAAAATAGGTGCAGTTTATTCCAGAATTTTGATATATACAAATAATTATAACAACTAGCACATATGCCCGTGCGTTTCAACGGAGAGAAATCATTGTGCCCATTGTCCACCAAAACGACCGTCATCATGGCATAATAACAACCGAAAGTGCCACCTAAATATGTTTGTGCGTTGCAACAGTAGAAAAAATCACCTCACTCTTCTATCCCAATAAACAAGTGATGATTTAAGCCTAAACACAGCATAAAACATAAGCAATGATTTGATTTGTGGTACACATCAATTATCCCCAGATGAATAAAATTGTGTGCTTTCATCATTTTTGCAAAAGGCAGCCATGTAGTCGTCGCCGGATCCACAAGCCTGCTTAACATGTACTCATGTGTTTAGCTGGGAGAATCAAGCTAGCCGGAACCCGGCAGCCCGTAGCTAGTTCGGACTCCATGTATATTTATTTGGGTCAGGTCACAACGTATGGCCGGCCGCTTCGCTTTTGTTTCAGTTATGTTTCCTTTACAGGTACATCCCCGGTTTTCTTTGTTTGCACATATGTTTCTCAAACAGACAAAACAAAAAAAAAACTAATACACGTAAAAAAATACTTAAAACGGGACGAAACAAAGCGAAACCAAACCAAGAATATCTATTCTCTTTAATAGTAGGTATAGATATAGATATAGATATAGATTATCCTGTCGGCGCCCTTGCCGATCTGCCCCACCGCTGATGGCCTTTGGCCGTAGCTAGGGTGCGGAGGATCTCGGTCAGGACCCGTTCTCATCTTTTTGTTAAACGTTTTGGTTGGGCTATGTGACGGTGACGATGTCCTTCAATAGAAATAATGTCTCCCACGTCTTATCCCCGTCCCGAAGGTGCAAATAGCATTGTCGATGGATGTGCAGAGGTGTGTCTCCGTCGGATCTCACGGGATTCAGTCGGTGTTGGTCTTCGGTGGATCTATTTGGATCCAGTTTTCGTTCGTCTTCGTTAGGGTGGTTACATGTTTGATCTTTTCGATCTACAATTCTTTTCGTCGGCGATGCTTGCTGCTCTGGTGCACTGGTCCTTTGAAGTCTTAGGACGATAACTTCCTGACTGTCTACTACATCAAGATTTGCTAGGCTCCAGTAACTGAGAGGCGACGATGACGATGCGTTGTCGGCTCGCTCCCGTGCTTGTAGTCGTCGCTAGGTGGTCCATGGACCTGGTTGTAGTTTTTATTACCTGTAGTGTTCTATGTACTGCCATGATTGATGAATATACTAAAAATTGCATTCAAACAATTATAACAATCATGTATTACATAAGTATTTGCACTTAGAAAAAACATAACTATCTATGTACGTTTAGAAAATGTTTATGTATATTTTAAAATGTGTAAATATGTTCTTGAGTTTAAAAAATGAATTTGTTTCAAAATTATTTTAAATATAAAAGGGATTTAGATATGTTCAAAAGGTACCCGTGTAAACTTTAATGTTAGTGCAACTTAAAATAAGTTCATGTACTTAATAAAATGTTCTTGTAATTGAAAAAAATGTGCACATACAATTTAGTACATAAACATTGTCAAATAGCTCACGTGAACGGTTTTTAATCGTTAACTATTTAGATTTTATTTTCCTGTGGCTTTTCTGTATTCTCTGCTGGTTTTCTTTCAGAGTTTTTCTTTTTAGTTCGTTTTCTCTTTTGATTTTTAAATTTTTTGTCACCTTAACGTTAATTTTTGTATCATTTCTTTTCTTCTCATAGAAATGTTATAAAATTATATAAACCTTTATCGACTAATACACACATATTCTACTTGGTTTTATTTTCTTTCTGGATTTCTATTCTACAGTATTTTATTTTCTCCTTTTAAATTTTTATTTTCCATTTTCTTGTTTTTTATTTTCTGATATATTTGTTTAGTTTTTCAATTAATTAATACTTTTAGAAGTAAAAACATATACTTATTAGAAAAAATGAATATTTTCTTTATGGGCATGACTGCTTTTCTGAAACTATTTAATCTGTTTTCTAAAAGATGCGGACACTTTTAAAATTTATACCATTCTTTAAACTAGTTGGATTTTTTCCAATTACATGAACTTTTAAAAAAAAATACTTGAAAACATTTTAAAATCACGAGAACATTTTTTATATAGATACTTTCTGAATTTGCATGATTTAAGGGGATATGCATAAAAACTAAAAATCATAAAAATTCATCTGGTTATTTTTATCCTGAGTGGTGGGAACCAAGTGCAAAATCATAAAAATTCATCTGGTTATTCCTTAGTCTAATAAAGCGGTAGAAGTAATAAAGTTATGTTCCTTATGGGCATCCCACAAGCTTGTGGGTTGCTCTTAAGTTTTTGAGCTTGTGGTCGAGTTGTACATTATGTGTAGTTGTTCATAAGGGCTTTATTTTTGCTTGTGGATAATTTGTAGGCCGCATAACGGATGCACTAAGCAGCAGGCGGTTGTCTCAAACTCTCGATAGCATTCTACTTTCTTATGGCCCGAATATAATAGTTGATGCCGATACAACATTAAATTTAAACCCTCACTATAGGCACAAGTATCAGACGAACATAATGAGTGACCCAATTCTAAATAGGCCGCCGCAGTTGTTTGGTTGGTGAGATTTGGAAATCATACAACAGGCTAAATCCTACCGGGATGAAGTACACAAAAATTAACAAGTTGTTTGTTTGCACCATAAGAAAATCAAGGAATTTTGTATAGAGATCAAATTCATATCATACGTATCATAGGCACGTAGTAAAAAGAGAAATTCAAAATCATTGTGTAGGAAGACAATCGATACAAAGTTTGAAACGTTTATTCCTTTGAACCAAATAGATTATATTGCGAACTTTCTACAGATTTGCATACTAGATAATTTATATAAAAATCATTTGAAGGAAGAGCCCTCGTGTGCGGTACATCTAGACTCACATTTCAGTAGATTTCTTCTTGTAATTGTAAGTACAATCCAACTAGGGAAAAGACATGCGTTTTATATTAGGAACAGTGTAAATAGGCTCCACAAATCGATTAAGTGTAGTTGTTGGCGATGTCGGCGAGGTGGCCCGCCAGTTCCTCCGGCGCGGAGAGCATGACCATGTGGTCGGCGTCAGCCATCTCCCTGACCTCAGCCACGGGGATGCCTGCGATCATCTGCCTCTGGTACTCCTCGACCATGGCCAGATCCTGCTTGGCGACCACGTAGACCTTGGTCACCGCGCCGTATCGGGCAGCGCTGAACGGTGGCCGTTGCTGCTGGTCAGCCACGTAGTAGGAGCTCACCCGCGCCAGGCTCTGGCACAGCGTGTAGTCCTCCTCCGGGCTCAGCTGGTAGAGCTTCCGCCGCACGAGCTCGGGCCCGAGGAACACCGACGGCGGGGCGTGCTCCTCGTCGATAACACTGTCCATCCAGTCGGACACGAGAACCTTCTCGATGACGCGGGTGCGCGGGCTGGCGCAGTCCGGCATGAAAGCGGCGAGGAACACGGCCGCCGCAACCTTGTCGGGGAACTCTTCGGCCGCGAGCGCGACGCTCATCCCGCCGAAGCTGTGGCCCACGAGCACCGCCCGCTCGCCGTCCGGGAGGGCCCGGAGCGCGTCGAGCAGGGGGCGCGTGTAGTCCTCGAAGGTGGGCGCGTCGCGCAGCGGGCGCGCGTCCGCGCCGCAGGCCGCGAGGTCCGGCGCGTCCACGCGGTGCCCCGCGGCGCGGAGCAGCGTGGCCACCTTGTACCAGCACCACCCGCCGTGGCCCGTGCCGTGCACCAGGATGAGGCGGGTCGACGTCGCCACAGCGGCCGCTGGCGCAGAGGAAGAAGACATGTGTGCGCCGAGCACTGGACAGTACACGCCGAGGCAAGTAGGCACCTAGCTAGCTGCTTCCTTTTCTTGGCTGCTTGGTGTTACGCCTCTCACGTTATTTATGTACCAGTATTTGGCTATGCAGGCATCTTCTTCAAGAAAAGAGGGCAGATGCGGTATTGTCACAGCTGATATCTTATGCTCATTGCCCTCAACAGCCGCCCCAGCAGTCGGCCGGCCGGCCGAACTCAACGTTTCTCCATCTCTAGTTCACAACATACGAAGATACCACGAGTCGCAAAAAAAGAAAACCGAATATACCACGAGACAATAGTGTGTACGCTTTTCCGCCATCATTCATCTTTGTATGG